CTAGATAATGATTACAAAGCCTAATAAAGTAAAGACATGACTGCCAAATTGTTAAAAAAAAAAAAAAAAAAAACTAAATAAATATAACTAATATTAAATATATATAATAATACAAATAATAAAATATAATCTTATACTATATTATGTTGTGTTACAATTTGCTTTGTAACATTTTCTTCTCTTTAAGATTTTACTTTGCAAAATCTAAACTTGTTGTACTTTAACTATTTGTTCACCAAAATTTATAAGTTTATTATAATCCTCTTTGTTATTACTATATACAAAATTCTGTTTTTGCTTATACTTTTTTTTATCTACTATATGGTTTTACTTTTTAAAACAACTATGTATAAAAATTTCAATTTGGTATTATTTGGCAGTACTTAGCATACTTGGCAAAAATTCTTGGCCTAGTATATGTTTAAATATTTTCTTTGTCTATTTCTTCCTTAAATTTTGTAAAGTCTACTGAATTTTCATTTTTGTATATCTAAAATTAGCTTCTATTTCTAATTTGTTTATCTTTGTCTAAATTTGTAAATCATATTACTATTTTTTGTGATTTTCTTTGTTTCTACTATGCAATAATTTTCTTTGTCCTGGAAAAATTATTTTTATTGTTTTTAATTCTATTTATATTCTTGTTTTTTTATATATTCTGTTTTTCAAAATTTCACATACAAATCTTTTTTTCTTGTACTGTTTTTTTATTTTCCTTTATATGTTTCTTTATATTAAAAACTTTCTTGTCTAATACTCTTTTCTTCTTTTTTCGTTTAGTAATAGTTCTATTAAATTTTTTTGTTTTTCTGGTCTTTGCTTTTGTTTTCTGTCTAAAAGTAAATATACTTTTTGGGTTGTATACTAAACTTCATTGGCTTTACTTTTTTGGAGCAACTGCTAACCTTTCATGTCTAAGTAAGCTTGTGGTCTTTTGTACTAGATATAATTGACCATGTAGCCTCAGTAGATACTTTTCTATTCATATTTTCTTTTTTTTTTTTTCTTTTTATACTTTTGTCTTTAAGTATAACTGTCTTGAAAAAAGTGTTCTTTTTCTAACTTTTATATATTAAATCTAGATGCTATATATTGTATATAGCTAGTTTGTTTTTTCTATAATCTGGGGTTTGTAAAACCAGATTGCAAACCTGCAAGCTCAAGTCTAAGAGCATAATCTAACTAAACTGGTGCGGCTAAATTACCAATACAAAGTACAGATAGGAAAATTGCAAAAAGAATAAAATAGGCTTAGAGTATAGGTAACAGATTTGAATACAAAGATAGAAAATTTAAAGTAGACATTATGGTTTATTTTGGAGAGTAGTCCAAGTTTTAGTTTGGTTGAGTTAGTAGTTATTTATGCTCTTCTTTGTTTGTATTTTATTTTACTTTCTTTTTTCTTAATAAATTTTTCAGTTTTTAATTGCTAAGTCTAATAAACTATTTAAAAAAATTATTTATAAAATGTTTAATAAAATCTAATAAAATTAATAAAAGTTTCTAAGACACAATGGCATTCTGAAAGTTTTGGGACAGTTAGACTTAAAGTATATCAAGATCATATTCTGGAGGCTTCTAAAGCCCAAAAAATTTTTTCGATATTTTTATATATCAGGAATAAATCCTGGAGGCTTCTAAAGCCCAGGAACTATATTGATTTTTTGGTTAAATATATTAAGTCTAACAATTTTTAAACCCTCTAGAATGTATTGCGTGTGCTTTTAAAGCTCAAGAACTATATCGATTTTTAGTTAGATTTATAACCATATCAGGAATACATTCTAGAGACTCCCAAAGGCCAAAAACTATATTGATTTTTGGTTAGATTTGTTGTCTAACTGTCCTTATTACCTTATAAATAACTCTAATGATTTATTAACATATTGGGTTATATTCTGGAGGCTCCTAAAGGCTAGAAACTATATTGATTTTTGGTTAGATTTATTTAAGTCTAACTATCCTTATTACCTTATAAATAAGTTTAACAATTTATAAACATATCAGGAATATATTCTGAGGGCTTTTGAGAGCCCTGAAATTATATTGATTTTTTGTTATATTTTATTAATGATTTCAGATTTGTTAGATTTATTTATAAAGCTTCTAAAAGGGTCTATGCGTTAAGTATTATATCAAGAATCACATGACCTTTTAAATCTAACGAACTTTTCTATAGACAAGAATGGCTTCTATACAAGCTAGCTCATTAAATAGCATAATTATTAAATAAGTCTAATGAGTTTTTTGTCCCAACTTTTTCTTAGTCAAGAACGGGTTCTACGCGGGCTAGATCTTTAATTAGTATATTATTCCTATAAGTCAAACAATTGTCCCCCATTAATAAGTCTAACGATTCTTATAAATTCGAAAAAAAGAAAATTTTGTTAACTAACTCTTTCTGGCTTTGAGTAGCTCATAAATTAATATATTAATTATATAAATCTAACTCTAATACTCCCCTATAAAAATCTAGAAAAAATCTGCAGAATTATTACAACTTTTTCTTAGACAAGAATGGGTTCTAACTACTTTTTTGAAATTGTCTGGAGACTGTTTGATGGATTCGTTTAAAGTCTTAGTCCGAAGTCTATCATAATATTGAGTAACATAATAGCCTCTGATATGTAATGGGCATTAGCCACAAGCAGAAGCAGTTGGCTTCCCGCAATCAGAGCATAGAACCCGTTTTTTTGATTTCCAATGAAATCAGCAACCTTCAGGGCGAATGGAAGCTCTCCCACAAGCCTTTCTGGTATTGCAGAGATATGAGCAGGAATATTCACCGATCATTCTATTTTTTATCACTAAATTTTAAAAGATTAATTAATAACTAGTTAATGCTTCAGTTTTGGGAAGGATAGTTAGAACTGTTTTGGCAAGCCTGAAAATACCGCCTTCAGTGGAAACTCTATAACTGGAAAGTGAAAAGAATAGGAAATAATTAATTAAAGAAAAAAATTTATAAGTAAGTAAAAGCGCGACGGTTAGAGATAACACTATACCAAATATCTGATGCTTACCTAGAATATATAGAAGAATTTAGTATAGAAATAGCTGATTTCAATTCAATTAGACCTACTGCCTATATACCTTTGCCCAAAACTTTGCCAAAACATAATAACAGAATTATAAATATTCAAAATGATGATAACTGGTGTTTTGGGTGGAGTGTTCTAGGAGCTTTACATCTGGTTAAAGTTCATTCAGAAAGAAATCCACAATGCTAATATGGAGGTTTCATGGAGGAACTTAACATGGATGACATCCCAATTCTGGTACCAGTCTCGACACCAATTTATAAGAAGTTCGAAGCAAATAACCCAGAGATTAGCCTTTGCATTTATGAATGGCACAACCAGAATGAATGTCTTGAGTTTTGCTATGTTTCAGAGAGAAGGGAGGAAGAATATAAGCAAGTAAATCTTCTAGTAATTACGGAAGAAGAAGGAAGTCATTATTGCATAATCAAAGATTTACATAAGCTAGTATACAATCATAGCAAACATAAAGGACAAAAATATATTTGTCGTTATTGTCTTCATGTATATTCTTCAAAAAAAGGATATAGTGAACATTTGCCAAAATGCAAGGGTCTAAATAATGCCCCCAGCAACCACAAATGCCAGTTAAGAATAGGAGTATCAGAGCTTTTTATAATCATAAATACATGTAACCAAATCCATATCGCATTTTCTGGGATCTAGAAATGTTAACCAAAAAGTTAACTTCAGAAGAGAAAACAAAGTTAACCTATACTAAAAGATTGCAGATACACAAGCCATGTGGTTATTGCTATGTAGTTGTTCATATGGATAGTTTACTTAACTATGAAATCATAAGTCATGATTTATATAGGGGCCCAGATGCGCTTGAAAGATTTGTTACAAAAATCGAGGAGGAGTTGGCAAACATACAGGAGGACTTATCTGCACCTGCAGAAATGATAATGGCACCAGGAGATCTTAAAGCATACAATGAGGCGACAGAATGCTGGATTTGCAAGGGACCTTTTTTAAAACCAGCACCAAAGATAGTACAAAAACTCGAAGAAGCAAAGCATAATTTATTAGGAATCAAAGAATAGGAATCATGCATGGAAAAAGAACATCCTAAAAAGAAAGAGGCACAGAAAAGATACCAAGAAGCTTTAAGTGCACTTAATTGAAAAGTAAAAGATCATGATTATATAAATAGAAAGTACCGAGGCCTAGCTCATGACTCTTGTAATAAAAAGTTACGCATAGGCTCTTTCGAAACCAAAGTGCCCCTTATCTGTCATAATTTTCGAGGATACGACTCTCATCCGCTCATGAAAGTTGTTTCAAAATTTATAGCCGATGAGCTAAATTGTATTCCAGAGAATATAGGAAAGTACAAGGCCATGGATGTTGGTCAACTCCGATTTCTTGACAGCTTCCAACATATGGCAATGAGATTAGATAAATTAGTAGCATGTCTAGGAGAAAACCCAAAAAGTTCCCCCTAACTGTCAAGCACTTTACTGCAAAAGGTAATTCGATAGAAAAGATTAAGCTTCTTTTCCGAAAGGGCGTATTTTCATATGATTGGACAAATTCGTGGGCTAAATTCAACAAAACAAGTCTCCCATCTAGAAAGGATTTCTATTTACTTCTTAGTCAGCAAAATATCAGTAAGGAGGACTATGAACATGCTCAAAAAGTATGGCAGACATTTGAAATGAAAAGTTTCAGAGAATACTATGATCTTTACCTTGAAACAGATGTACTGTTACTTGCCGATGTGTTCATGAATTATACTATTATGTGTTTGCAAGATGATGGTTTAGACCCCTCTTATTACGTCTCAGCACCAGGAATGTTCAATGATTCTTTATACAAGAGTAGCGGAGCTGAACTCAAGCTTATGATGGATATGAATGAGTATCTAATAGTTGAGAAAGGTATTTGAGGAGGTATGACAATGGCAAGTCACCGATATGCCAAAGCGAATAATCCTTAATGTTCTGACTATGATCTAAGCAAACCAACATCTTGGACCATGTATGAGGACATGAACGCCTTATATTCAGGTGCAATGATGCAATATATGCCTACAAAGAAAAAAGGCAAGGTAGATCCAGAAGAGGTACCAGATATTCAAACTATTGCGCCAAATGCAGAAATAGGCTATATGCCCGAAGTAGACTTAGAAGTTCCGGCACATTTACATGACTTCTTTGCAGACTACTCTCTAGCACCAGAAAAGCAAATAGTACTTGAAAACTGGTTAAGTCCATATAACGCAAAATTAGTACAAGACAAGGAAGTGGGAGGTGGCAAATATGTAACAGGAGAAAAGCTCGTCCAAACTCTTTATCCCAAAAAGAACTATGTGGTCTATTATCGTGCACTCCAGCTATATATGAGACAAGGGCTAAAGGTTACAAAGATCCATGGCACACTCAAGTTTAAGCAATCCCCTTGGATGAAAGAATATATTGAGAAAAATATTTGTAAACGCAAAATAGCAAAAGCCAATGGTGATGAGTTCGGGGTCATGTATTATAAGCTAAAAAATAATACAGTCTTTGGTAAACAGATAGAGAATGTCTGTAAACATATGAGAGTAGAACTTCTCCAAACAGAAAAAGATAAAAAAATCAGGCGATTAGCAAGTTCGCCATTATTTGTAGGTTTCAAGCAATTCGAAAGAGGAATTACAGCCATTTATATGTTAAAAAGTGCCGTAACTCTAAACAAGCCAATCTATGTAGGACAGGCCATTCTTGACATTAGCAAAGCTATGATGTTTAACTTTTGGTACGGTTACATAAAGCCTCGCTACGGGAAAAAGGCCCGCCTACTTTACACAGATACAGACTCACTTATTATGATTATAGAAACTGAGGATATTTATAAGGATCGTGCAGAGAGACCAGACATCTTCGATCTCAACAACTCAGGAGCTTTATTCCTGATGAAGAACGAACCTAAGGGCTCATCTATAGATAAAGCAGTATGTTTAAAACCAAAGATGTACTCCATTCTACCAGTTAGGCATGATCCAAAGACTCTCAATAATCCCGATTCAGAAGACCCTAAAAAGAAGCATGGCATCCAGAAGGCAAAGGGTGTTAAGAAATGCGTAGTTAAGAGGGAACTTCGACATGATAAGTTCCTAGAATGTCTTAGGAACAAGAGACTAACCAGGCATGATATATATGGCCTCCGAAGTTATGATCATCAAATATATATGGAGAGGGTAAATAAGATAGGGCTGAATCCATATGATAACAAGCGCTGGATTTTACTTGATAGAATTCGAACTCTCCCATATGGACATTGGCGAATTGGATTATACAAACGCCTAGTAGCATCTGAAATAGTTCCTGAGGAAGCAGAAGAAAGAGCTATGAAAGCTAGACTTCGTTTTAAGGAATAGATGCTTTATAACAAATATTTTTTGGATAAAAAAATTATTAAAGAATGCTATAACTAATTATAGAAGTTTTTTTAATGTTATATTAGAAACATACAAAGTCTTAGTTAATAAAATCTATGTGTTAAACATGCCTAATATTTTTGAGGAATGGGAAAAAAATAGTTATACCTGATACATGTTATCTGAATATGGCTTAAACTATATTAGTAATTTAAAAACACCAGAAGCTTGGCTATGATTTGCAAAGTATTATCTGCCTAAATATATACGTAGACGTTTATTTATACTAGGACATGAAATAAAAGGTAAGAACTATTGGAGAAACTTTGTATTCCGTATTAAAAATAATTTAACCAGAAGAGAATATATAGCCAATAACTCTGAATTTAGAGAATTTAAAACCCAGGTAGCATATTTTAAAACTTTGTATATAAAAACTCGACCGGCAATTATCATCCAGTGAGTATATCGTTTATGGAAAAAACGAATAAATTCAGCTAAAATAATCCAGCGTGCAGTGAGGAAATAGCTTTATCAACCAGGTGGCACATTAATAAAACGTGTCCAAGATCAGTATTATCAAAATGCTAATAAACTTGAAAATTTGAAGTAACTCAGAAGATTTTTTAATACAGGTATAAAAGTGTTGATATAAAATAAAAATCTATGAAGTGTATACTCCTTCCTTCATGATTGCTATCGAAGATCTAGCGATCCTGGCTCATACTAATTAATTCGTAAATGAACAGATCGCCAAATCCGAAATGAGATTTCATAAAATCTGCAAACTAATTTTTTTAATCATGAGGGTGTTTAATATATAAAAATGAGCTAAGTATAAAAAAAATTGTGAAATACTTATCTGGTTATACTTTATATTAACGCATACAAATCTAATCACATAAATTTTACTCTTGAATATGTCTACCTCTACTTCCACGTCAACTGCTCCTATTAATAACATCAAAAATCTCGTATATAATATTCTAAAAACCTTTAAGGATGGCATTATTAAGGGTAAAAAAATTACAGAACTAGGGCCATGCTCCGAATGTAACAATGATATTTTAATATCTCCTCTCAAAGCATTCACATACCTAGCATGCGGACACCTTTTTCATAGACTCTGTATTGAAAAAAAGCCTTTACTTACTGTTCCAAACACATGTCCATTTCCAGGTTGTGGAAAGAATATGGAAATATTAGATCAAGCCAATCTCCTTGGCACTGTTTCCAATTTGCCGTTAACTGATCCCAAGGAGGCCTCCCAATCAACTGGAATTTTACCTTTGATAGGCGAAACATTCGTCCTATCTTCACCATCTATACGGATACCACCTATACGGATGGAAGGGATCGAGGATACGGCAACCCAACAAGTCAAAAGTAATTTGAGGTATGCCAAATGTTCTGAAGATCTTTCTTCATGTCTCCCACCTATAGGCTTTCTTCGGTTCTCTCCTCAACTTCAAGGTCTCTCGAAACCACTCATATACTTAACTTGCAAACATATCATCCATTACAATTGTATCGATAATCCACAAAAACTGTGTCCTATATGTCCACCAACTGATATGAAAATTGATGATGGTGTTATAGTAACTGTTACCCAAGAGTTAAGTACTGCCCAGAAAAACGTTCTAGTAGCTCTTCAGAAAAATCCTCTAACAAAAAAGCAAAAAAAGTTGGTGGAAAGGTCTCGAGTATACTAAAACAACTTATAGAAGAATTATTAACTGATATTCCCAT